TAACACAGAGGATGCAAGATTTTCAAAATAATAAATTAGATTATTTTCTTCATGCCTGCATTACACTTGAGCGATACATTAAAATGTTATTTGCTTTAATTTTTTATTTTTTTTTAGGATTATTACCTTCGTATAGCTTTAAAATGCATTTTGATACAGCACCATATTCCATAAAAGTATTGTTTATTTTAAAAACTGTACGACTAAAACCAAATTTCGTGAACTGGACCTACGTGTACTCCGGTCTATGTATGTAGTATAATAAATTATTACTGTAATAGGCAGTGCTTTGCTTGGATCTAAAAATAGCAGATTTATACGTATACTTACTTCATGCTTACTCCAATTTGAATGCTTTTATCCACGCCGTCCCATTGTCCTAAATGTAAAGCAGGTCTGAACCGGTATTATAGAATAATCAGCCTCAATTTGTCCGGTTATAGCCTTTAGAAATACGCAATGCACTGGTATATGACGCGAGATTTAATAAACAGGCGTTGAAAGAAAAATATAAATTGTTGGTGTTTGTTTATGGTTGTTGTAATGGGAATGCCAATGCTGCTGTTAAAGGATTTCCACACCACAGATGTCCTGAGAAAAATGTATTTATCAGAGTTTTCAACAAACTGTGCGAAATCGGAAAGCTTTCCTGTGCTAGTATACCATCTGAATGAGCTCATCGACACAGATTAGAAGAACTAGAAAATATTTTGGGTCCAGTAGAAGATGGTGCAACTAACAGCTCACGAAGAATTGCTACTCAATTGAGTTTTCTCCGAAAGAGAGTAATAAAAACCCTCCATGAATAAGGCTTATATGCGTATAATATACAGAGTGTACAACACTTAAAACCGGAAGATTATGCCAAGCGTATCGAGTTTTGTTGATGGATCAATAAATCACTGCCCCACAAAAAAAATTGAAAAAATGCTTCCAGAAACCAAACCTACCCTACCTTATGTTTTTGGAGTCGTTGAATCCGAATTCGGGATCAGTGTAACCTCATCACGTCAAAATTTTCCATAACCTAAAAAATTATGCCCAAAAACCCCATAGCACGTAAACTATTTAATCCCCAAGCATCTTAACACACGTAACCCATAACCTCATAATCCGATCATTCCCAAACCCCATAAACCCCAAAACTCCATAACCCAATAACCTCATAACCTCCAAACCTGATCAGCAACAGAGGATTCATATACATATGAATCCATTCCTTTGGGGAGCGTATTCAATGAAGTACAGGAGTTCCTTCTGTTTCATTTACTGCCAAACTACTCATGCGTATAAGTAGGAATTATATTTTCTCTTGTGGAATGTAAAAAATTAAAATAGATGCCTTTGGTGGTTGGAAGATGATTTTCCCTAGGGAATTTGAAAAGTAGCGCGATAATTTGAAATTGGTTATGGTGCATCTCAACAGTGTAAGAGTCATTTATTGGTTTCGTAAACAAGAAGAGCGTCAGAAGAAAAGGCCCTAGCCGGCGGGGCCCAGCCAGGACAAAAGAAGGTCCCACAAAGCGCCTACACCGGCCGCATTTGCGGTCGGGGTAGACGACGGATGGGGCCCACCTACGAAGGCTGTCCAGGCTTACACGAGATGAGGCAGGATAAAGAAGGATAATCCCCCTTGATCCCAAATCATTGAGACCAATTTCTAGCCATGGAATAATGGCGCGGTTTCGTAAAAATTAGAAAATCAATTTTCAAGTTTATGGGGTTAATGGGTTATGGGGTTTTGAGGTTTATGGAGTTGGAGGGTGATGGAGTTAGAGGGTTTAAGGTTTATAAGCTAATGGGGTTCGCTACACGTAAAGAAGCAGCACATTGACTTAGATCTCCTGGCGTTAGAGACCCAAATCTCTGTTGCTGATCGGGATTGGAGGTTATGGGGTTTTGGAGTTTATGGGGTTGGGGTATGATCGGATGATGAGATCGGGGTTACGTGGGTTAAGATGCTTGGGGATTAAATAGTTTACGTGTTATGTAGTTTTTGGGCTTAATTTTTGAGGTTATGGAAAATTCTGACATGATGAGATTAAATTATTCTCATGTATGGTTAGACGAAAATCCTTTCGCAACACTTGAAAGTAATTTTCACCATAGGTTTTTAGTACACATGTGGTGTGGTATGATCGATAGTTATTTAATTGGCTTTTTCATTTTCGAGAATCGACTCTCAGAAGACCACTACTTAAATGTTTATCAAAATAAATTACAAGTACTACTAGAGAATGCGAATGTACCATCAGCACGATGGAGATCCAGCACATTTCGCTCGTCCAGTCAAGCTACATTTGAACTAGAGGGCGTTGGATTAGCCGCGATAGTCCTATCAGTTGACCTCCAAAATGTCCAGACCTCATCACTAGATTACTGTTTATGGGGCTAGTTAAAAAATGAAGTGTTCAAAATTATTTTGATGTGTAAAATCTAATAAGGATATACATTTATAAATAGTTTAAGGGGGTCTGATCTTGAGCTAGTTAGCCATATTGGAAATGAATATATTCTTCTGTGTTCTGTGAGTTTATGAGTGTTCTGGGATTTTTAAATATCTTAGACGAATTATTTATTTGCATCTTTATGTGCAAAATAGAGATAACATATACATAAATTTGAAAACTTCACTAAATATAGATAATGCAATAGTATTAAATATATTCATATTTAATTCACGATCAACAGTAAATGCAATTATACAAATATAAACAAACACCGCCATGTTTTAAAGGAGTAGCTGCGGATGTGTGAAAAAAAAAAGGTTAACAGGAAGTATAACCATACTAAATTGTATTATGCTTTGGTACAGAGAGATCCAGAATGATTGAAGTGTTTGGAGATCACAACCTGTGCCTGTCTCTGTCAATACTACAGATTTTTATATGCTAAAGATGGTGTTAGAAAGAGGCCGCGTTCCCCAAACGCTTCAATCATTTTAGAGCTCTCGGTATAATAAACTTAAATCAATATGATGAGCGATTGACAGAGTTTACACATTCTAAATTGACTAAGTATTTTATGCGGTTGACTTTATGCAGCAGCAGGCAGTGTAGTTTTTTTCTAATTGTGCGATTTGAGTTTTGATAATAATTATGTGACACGACCAAAAAATTACATTTGATTGATCAATAATATCAGCATAGTTGTCAAAGATTTATTCATTTGCGAAAATGAATGGGCGAAGAAAATGTAAATGGTGGAGAAGAAAGATAACCACTTTTTGGCTGCTGGACTAATGTTGTTGTCGGTACCACAACATACATTTTTTTCCATCAAGTGCAAGCAAGTGAAAGACAAATATGTAAATCTTTAAATCGAGTTATAAATTGACAGCTCTCGAAAATAATATGTTGCTATTAAAAAAACTTAGCCAATCATCGAGGACTATATCACACTATCACTATTATTGTGCATCGGATTTCGGTTTTGATTAGTGCGAAAATGTTTTACTACTAGGTACTTTATTAATAACTAAAGGCATTAAACTAATTTAAATTATTACCAAATATTATTTATAATATTTATAATATAATAATAACAGCCCTACAAAAAAGTGATAGGTCCGAAAGACAGTATCATTGTATCTATGTTTTTGGGTCGCTGAATCCGAATCCGGTGTCCAGTTGACCCGATTAGCTCTGGGTTAAGATCAGTTCAAGGTCAAATATAGACAATCAATTGCCAAGAGTGTAAATAAATATAACTAAATGTTCGAATCCGGGGTCCGTTTGATTCAATCAGGTCTGTTAAATACTCTGAAGTTAAGCATTTATGCGTATTAAAATTTAACTAACAAATAAGATTAAAGAAAGAAAGCTTTAACTTTGAGCCCGTGACTTTCGAGTTAATTGTTTTGACAACAAAATTCTAGTATCAATAATCAGTGAGTCCGTGTCGATTGAGATTCTAAGAACAGTTTTCCAAGATAAAGAGGATGTTTGCCTTGATGAATCGCATGAAATCACTGTATCTCACTATTATCGTATCGAGACAACTACTCACTTTTGTGGTATCGAACTATTTTCTTGTTAAAAGATCTGCGAAGTGGATTACTTTCACGTTTTCTTGATCTCAATGGTAAATCTCGTTTTAACGACTAGCTGTAAGCGGCTAACATGTTTATACTCCATCTGCCTTGGTACCTACGTTCCATTTCATTAATATTTTTATGATTTAAGGAAGTAATCGAAAAATTTTCTAGGAAATCAAAAGAGTCCAAACTATAAAGAAATAGTGTCGAATTTGGTGGAAAGCTTTAAAAACCTAGGCTGCTTAATGGATCTCCAACAACATTCCCATGTCGATTATTTCCCAAAAAAAATGGGTGGATACAGTGAGGAGATGGGAAAAACCTATTATAGAGCTAATCGGCTTAAACGAACACCGGTTTCGGATTCAACGACCCCAAAAACATATGGATACCATGATCTTGTCTTTCGGACCTCCCACTTTTTTTGTGGGGCTGTGCAGTAACTGCTATCAAAGCATATTTAATGATAGTTGCATTAAAATTTTTTAAATTAATTTGAATTAGCTTAATACTTTAAAGTAAAGTAAAAGTACCAAAATTATTAATAAAAAATACATAATTGAAAAAAAATAATTTTACTCTTTATGATAAGAAGAAATACTATTTACATCTTTAGAACTTCCACAATTAACCTAAAGTACGGCAATAAAAATAAACAAAGATAGCACTAATGACATATTAAATGTATTGTAATTAACATAAAAAAGTCAAATTCTTGTAATATATTTTTGATATAAATATTTTTTTTAATTTATTTTAATATCTAATTCAATCATTGTACTCACATGGATAGGACATCAATATATTTTTTTAACTTGATAATTTCAATGGTTCAGTATTTTTAAATTTGTTTAATTTTGAGGTAGATTTTCTAACTAATATCTTTGATTATCATTTTGAATATCTATATAAACGACGGAGAAATATATAAACAGATAAATTAATATTTACATCCTCAGTTTTCACTGTTATGTACTATAATAACCATTCTTGAGCTGCCGGGACAAGTAGAAGGACAAGCAAATTCCCAGAAGCTAAAAAATACCAAATAATAATTAGATAATTATAATTTTTTACTAAAATGTGCTTAGTTTTCCATATTGCAAAAAATGATTATATAAAAATTGTTTCTTGTAAATACACCGCAGTTCGAATCTAATTTCTGTAAATAACTGCCCATGATGCACATCAACTCATATTTTGTACTCCAAAATACAAATTTTTGCAAATCAAATTCACCCTCGTGGTCAATTTTTTACATTGACTTATACTACTTTCGTCACCAGACACTTAAATGTGCAAAAATTATTCAACCTTACAGACAAAATTGCTGATACTCATTAATAGAGCTGTCATAATTGGCCGCGCACCCTGAACGTTCTAAGTCTACAGGGATGGCCAGAAGTACGGAATAAAATTCATATCTTTTGAAAGAGTTAATTTTTTTTAAAACGCCGAAACGTTAACGGATTTTGATTTTTTCCCAACTTTCGGTTATATAATAATTAATTTTTCTTCAACCCCCTAACCCCCAGCTGCCCCTACTTTTTTTTCTCAAATGGAAACATAAGGCATGTGGGGGCTCGTTGAAAAGCTTATAGAAAACTGAATCCACCCATACCAAAAAAAAAGTTATTTTTTCAATAACAATTTTTTTTTTTCATTTAGAAATTGAAGCAACTAGATAATTTACAAAAATAAACTCAATGTCACAAATGCTGAAAATGTCCTCCATTCACTATTTGGCATTCTCCAAGACGATAGTAAAAGCTGTCCACAGCATTCTGAATGACTTTAGCTGGTAAATTATGTATCTCCGCCCTAAACTTGTTTTTTAAATTCTCAATATTATCCGATCTGTCCTGGTAGACTCTTTCTTTCAAATATCCCCAAAGAAAATAATCCAGGGGTGTTAAGTCGGGGGATCTTGGCGGCCATTCAACTGTACCCCGTCTACCAATCCATCGATTTTAAAACATTTCATCTAAGTATCTTCGAACATCAATTCCAAAATGTGGGGGAGCGCCATCTTGTTGGAACCAAATTCTTTCATTCGGTATATCTGGATCAATTTCATGAGGGAAAATCACAGTTAGAGCAGGTATCAGGTCAAATGTTAGGAAATCCAGGTAGCGTGCGGCAGTAAGATTTTCTTCAAAAAATAATGGGCCCAAGATTCTGTTGTTGATGATAGGTACCTGCCCATACATTAACTTTTTGTGGATGCTGCGTATGCGATTCGCATGTCCAGCGTGGATTTTCCTGGGACCAAAAGCGATAGATGTGCCTGTTAACCACTCCATTTAAATAAAACGTAGCTTCATCCGAAAAAAGTACGTCTCGTTGAAAACCATCATTGTCGTCACACCGTCTCATCATTTCCTCACAAAATTGTAATCGCCTATCATACTCGTCTTCCAAAACCTCTTGGACAAGACATATCTTATAGGGGTGGTATTTCTCTTGTTTCAGAAACATTCTAATTGCAGTTCGAGAAGCATCGTGATTGCGGGCCATTGAAACAGTTGAAGTGTGAGGATTTTCAACAAGTTCTAATGCAATGTCTAATTTATTTTCTTCATTCAAAGCTCGTGCCCGTCCAGTTTTGGGCAAAGTTTGTACTGTACCGTGTTCCTCAAATTTGTGAAATATTTTACTAACTCTCCCTTGCGAGATTTGGACAATACCATTGCAATTCAGTAAATAACTTGATTTTGACACAATAGTAACGTTTCGAACTCCAGTTTACAACTAAAGCGAAAAATTAACCAGAAAGCCTGGCAAGTAAGTGGTGCCAAAAAAACGCAATATAAAAAATATATCTTTTTTGCGTTAGCAGTGATAGGTACAGTTTCAAATTATTTATTTTATTCTGTGCAAATTCATGGAGGATAACACTGAAGATAATTAAATTTTATTTCACTTGTTAAGTAGGTGTTTTATACAACCCTAAAAACCTTGCTATTGAAAAAATAAAACTTGTTTATTTGGTATGGGTGGATTCAGTTTTCTATAAGCTTTTCAACGAGCCCCCACATGCCTTATGTTTCCATTTGAGAAAAAAAAGTAGGGGCAGCTGGGGGTTAGGGGGTTGTAGAAAAATTAATTATTATATAACCGAAAGATGGGAAAAAATTAAAATCAGTTAACGTGTTTCGGCGTTTTAAAAAAAAAATTAACTCATTCAAAAGATATGAATTTTATTCCGTACTTCTGGCCATCCCTGTATATTCGTTGGTATAGGTTTAAGGCTCAAGAACCATGCATGGCTCGATCATACTGTGTTTCACTTCTTCAACTTCAACGTGTATAAGTCTTTTTCTTACTGGGTTCTGAGATTTTGGGGTTCTGACATTTTGAGGTTATGGGGTTTAAGGGTTTAAGTGATTAAGAGGTTTTATGGGGTTATTGGGATTGTCAGTGGATGGAGATTTATTGCGTCTTTGGGCCTATTTTTTGAGGTTATGAAAAATCCTAACGTGATGGACCCCGAATTTGGATTCAGCGTCTTCGGAAAAATATGATAGACATAGTCTAGCCATAAGTAATTTTCTCGATATTTTTTTGTGGAGCTGTGTAGTTCAAACAGTTACATACGTAAACTTCTTTCATATGCCACAGTACAAAGATGTATACAGGGTGGGCCAAAAGTACCGGAATGGCAGGATATCTGGGAATATTGAAGGGTTAGGGTAAATGCAGAGCACTAGGGTTTAAGATATTTCCCTGACTATCCGATGGTGATCTTGAATTTGACCTGGACCATGACCTTCAAGGTCATATCAAGGTCACGAGGAAAAAATCCTAAACCCCCAATGCTTTACTTATACCCTACTTCTTGAATATTCCCAGATATCCTGCCATTCCGGTACTTTTGGCTCACCCGATATACAGGGTGATTCAGAACTTATCCAAAAAAATTTGGGAATAGATGCGGCATGAGAAATGGAGTCAATATCGTAAAAAAAATTTTTGTAAAATCCTTATAGTTTCCGAGAAAAAAATTATTGAAGTTATAGTACATTCAACGACTACATAGCTGGACAACTGTAGTCTTTAGCGTCATTCGCAACGCGCATGGAGAGTCACGTGGCCTCAGCGACTCCGAATACTGAAATCGGATTTTGCAATCGTCGTTGCAATAGTATTTACCTGTTATCTGTTCAATAGTTTTTATAGTAGTTAGTGTCAAAAATGGGTAGTTAGTGTCAAAAATGGTTTGCGTGTATAGTAACTCGGAGTTCATGGATATCGTTTTAATTTATGGTGAAGCATTTGTGATATGGTGAAGCAAGACAACATTTGTGTTAGTTCGTAGAAACTGAGTAAGACGGACCCAAATGTATTTACACGTTGGTGGATAAAATTTTGAACAATTGTTGTAACATCGGGTATGTCAAATGATTTTATTATTTAAAAACAGTTGAATTTGCCAATATAAAATAGGTGCGATAAAATTCTATTTACATATTTCTTTCCTTGCGAAAGTTTTTGTCCGTTTTTATCACACCGCCATACCGGTCGCATTGGGCGAGGTCAGATTTTACAGTGGACCAGTTTCCAGTGCCGTACATAAGTGTATTTTAAAATCATTTTCGAACTGCCCTTTTTGATTTTTTCTTTACAAAATTGTATTTGTAAGGGTCCCCTGTACACCCAGAATTTTTTTTTTGGGATAAGTTCTGAATCACCCTGTATATTTCAAATATTTTAAATATGCTATTGCGTTCTCTGTATACTGAAGATCGTTTTATTAGTTCAAACATTTCTTTGCAACGAGAACAAAAATGTAACTTCTTCTTGTTAATTTGCTTTAATTCTATCAATAATAGTGGACACTACTGTATATCTAGTATATCACAATCACAAATTATAAAATATATCGTCAGTCATTTTTTTACACGTGTAATATCTACATGGTGTTTCAAATCAGTCCTAGTTTTTACGCCATGTACAATTTGCTCATGGATCTTAAAACTAACAAGATATTATGTACTCCGATATTTTAAATTTACCCCTCCCTTGAATTTCGTATTAATGAAATCTATTTTTATCCAATTGTGCTTAATACTGCATTTGTTTTTAGAGAGCCCAAGCATCCTCTTTAGACATGCCATGGCCAACTATGGTTCCCATTATTTACAAAATGTTAGTGTGACATGTAAGTCAAAAACCGTTGCACAGGCCACCTAATATAAAATGTTTTTGTAGAAATACTTGATTTCCAAAAGGGTGAATTTGATTTGTCGAACTATATCACTGCAAAGTATTTTCTTACCTGAATAACAGCTAATGATATACCAACAGCCCCAATATCTATAGCGTGCCGTTTCACAAAATTTCCAAATAATGAAAGGCATCCCGATGTATATGGTGCAGACGAAGAATCAGGATAAGATGTATTAGCTACGTTAACTATTTCTGGAACATTCTGAGTAGTATCTGTTACGTTGACCGATGTTGTTGACTCATCCACCGTTGTCGATTCATCCACCGTTGTTGACTCATTCAGTGTTGTTGACTCATTCACCGTTGTAGTCTCATTCGGTATTGTTGTTAACTCAACCGTTGTTGTTTCAGATATCGTTGCAACAGGTGTCACTGTTTCAGAGCTTGTTGTATCAGATATCAATATCTCCGGTGTTTCACTAACAGTTGTTTCTACCGTTGATGACATTGCTATTGTTGATTCAGTTGATACTACCGGTTCCGTAGTCGTAGTAGTATTTTGTGTATCTGAGTTACAGTAAAAAGCTCCTACTGTACCGCTACTACGGGGGCAGCAGGATACTGGCAACAAGTTACTACCGAGAGGTATCCGCCAGTCACTGTAGTCATTCACTCCACAACACTGGAACTGAAATTTGGATTATAATTGAATTTTTTATTACATTTCTCAGGGAATAGTAGCAAAATGTAGGAAATATTTACCCGTTCTTGAATTACATCCCACATACTGCTGATTGCGTGCTGAGTCTTATAAGTAACCATGCTTCCAGATAGTGTATTCTCTATGTAGTAAGACGTTTTATCTCTTAACACGTAACCAGCTATACCCACGGATAATTCAAATATAAATATTACAGACAGCAGGACTGAAAACTAAAGAATAAAAGGAATAGTTAAAGTATTTTTGATATTTGAAAAGCACATAAATCATTTTTATAATTTTTTTAAATACAAATATTAGTTTTGGCTCATACAATTCTAAAATATTCTATACATTTTTATAGGCAAGCTGAATTTATCACTACAGATGCTAAATATTATGTACAATAACATATTAGTTTCCACAGACATAAAAATGGGGGGAAGATTGTTTACAGGGTTGTTAATTGTATAATTTTTACGTAAATTCACGTTTTTCGCTTATAACTTTTTTCCGTTCATTTCCACGAGAAAATACTTAGTAAAGTACTTTCTTTTTTCGTCTTCAAAAAACCTACAAAACTAGCCCTTGAGCGTCAAAAAATATTGATTAGATCAAAAGTTATAAACAGAAGAAGTTTATTTATGACTTTTGAATTAAACATTTATAAACTGCGTTATTATTACCAGAACGTTTTGGCATCGCATCCTCTCATTCCTTATCACTGTCTAATAACTCACACGAAATCTGGAATCGGTAAGTTGAATAGTTTACAAGTTATGGCCTTATAAACAAATTAACTAATTATTAGTCTGGACGATCCCGAGGATCTTCCACAATCGCACTGATTTTTTTCATGGTAGATTTCATAATAATACATTGAAATCTATCATTTTTTTTTATTTTTTAGCCTTAGTTGCAAAATGAAATATACGACGCATGAGCGTGATATAGTTATATATTACATATTCGGAAAGCTTATGAAAAGAGCTTTAAGTTAAAAAAAAATCGTCAAGATTCGTTGAAAAACAACGGAGTTACAGACTGTCAAATATATTATTTTCAAGCGAATTTCGCTTTTTTAACGGCAGGACTATGAATATTATCGTCATTTTCTTCGGACCCGCTGTCATTCGCTTCCCCCACCCTTCCGCCGCGCCACGGCTCGCCGAAAATCAAGCGACCCATTGACTTTTGACAATATTTCTTATGCACTTAACATACTTCCACAAATAAAATATTTTTACATGGGAAAGTACTCGGGTTGCCGGTTATGACAGTATTTTTTTTGCCGCTATCAACCTAATTTGTTCAACAATCGGCCGTCAATTTTGACAAGCTGTAACTCCGTTGTTTTTCAACGAATCTTGACGATTTTTTTTTAACTTTAAGCTCTTTTCATAAGCTTTCCGAATATGTAATAATATAATTCACGCTCGTGCGTCGTATATTTCGTTTTGCAGCTAAGGCTAAAAAATAAAAAGAATTTCCAGGTTGCAAATTTGAAATTAAAAAAAAAATTATAGATTTCAACGTATTGTTATGAAATCTACCTTGAAAAAAATCTATGCGATTGTGGAAGATCCTCGGGATCATCCACACTAAATTAGTTAATTTGTTTATAAGGCCATAACTTGTAAACTGAATAGTTTTAATAATAACGCAGAAAAACGTGATATACGTAAAAATTATACAATTAACCAGCCTGTAAACAATCTTCCCCCCATTTTTATGACTGTGGAAACTAATATGTTATTGTAGATAATATTTAGCATCTATAGTGATAAATTCAGGTTGCCGAAATAAAAAGTTGCGAAATGGTCATTTCCCAGCTAATTTCCTGGCCTATTTAACTGAACAATAAAATTTTCAAAGTAATTATAACAACAGTTATACAGTGTGTTCCACATTAAATCCATCCATATAATATAAGGTTTATAGGCGTTTCGATGGGCCGTTTTCATATTAGATTCTTATAAATCCGAAAACAAACTCCTATGCAGCCATTTGTAAACACTCAGTATGATATCGTTTTAACGAATCTGCGACATTTACAATCACTGATAATCTTGCAATTTCTTAGAAGCCGCAGAAGTGTCGTCATTAATCTTTAGTTATATACAGAGTGATCGAGGTTTGCAAATTCCAAAATTGTTATATAAATTGGCCTATTTTTACTAGCTTATATGAAAAGCAGATAGAATTACCTTTCCAGCAACACTATTTTATGTGGGGTTACTTCTGATAGTTTTCATGTAAATGAACTTTAAAATTAAATTTTATTTTATTTTTAACTTTTCGGTCCCTCAATAAAATATCTGCTCAGTTACGAATATGAATTTACAAATGTTATCAATTTGTTTTTTTTTAATTATTGTTTCCATATCCCTACTATTTATTTAATTAGCAATAAGTACCAATATTAATATTTACAAATTAATAAATGTACAATAAACTGTAACTACAAAAGAAACAAAACCAATTCTTGAGCCAGAGATTCCAAGTACGTAGCTATGTTATTTTTAAAAGACCAACGAAAAAATCAAAACAAATGTTCAAAGTTTTGTTCAAATGATGATTTAACTCTTATTCGTACATCAGGTGTGAGGCTATTAAAAGAGTCTTGAATTATCTGCTTCATGTCATTTTCAGTATTTAGAGGTTTTAGCAAACTTTGTCTTTCTCTTATTCCCACAAGAAAAAATCTAAGGGGGTGAGATCTGGGCACCGAGGTGGCCAATTTACCGCGCCCCCTCTTCCGATCCACCTATCTGGATTGTTCGTTTAAAATGTCTGGCAATTGCTGCTTAATGGGCATAAGCCCCGTCGTGCTGGAACCACATCGTGTTCAAAATTCACGTGGCAATCCCTGCATTAATTGCATAAAGTCATCTTTTAAAAACCTCCAGTAAGGGTTCCGTAAAAAAAAATGGACCAACTACAGTCGTATATTACACCGCCCACACATTTATTGTCCATTTATGTTGGCTACTTATTCTAAATAGGTGAGGATTTATGTCAGAATAATAGTGAAAATTGTGCCAATTTACAAAACCGTTCTTGTGAAAAGTTGCATCGTCACAAAATAATACGTTGCTGAAAAAATCAGGAACTTCTCCCAATAACAAAAAAATATTCTAGCTTCAAAATCCCTTACCAGTAATTCCTGGTGTAATTGTATATGGAATGGATGAAATTTGTGTTTCTTAATAATAGGCCTAATAGATGTGACTAATATTTATTTGTCTATTAATAACCGAAACGCTAGTAGGTATGAAGATTTTCTACCTGAAAATCATTTTCTTCGTGAGTAATTTATTTGTGTATTTGCTTCTAGTTTGTTTTACATAAATCACGTTACCGGTTGCAATGAATCGTCCCAAAAGATTTTTCTCTTGGATGCCTGTGTCGAAATTGCGTGTCTTGTAAATTCGTGATGCCAGCAAACAATTCTTCTCGCACTCTCCAAGAATAAAAATCGTATGAACGAGTTCATTTCTTGAAAAATTAGTCATTTTTTTTAAACCGAAAATCTGTAGACACACATACATAGATAGATGCTGTTTTTTTTTTGTTTTCCTGACCAACGATGACTTTTAATTTTGTTTGGAAATCACAACTAAGATTGGATTCTAATTTGGAAAAATTATTGGTAGGTAATTATTGTTAATTAAATAAATAGTTGGGATATGGAAACATCAATTAAAAAAAACAAATACTTAACTTTTCTAAATACATAAAAGATAAAAATTAAAAAAATAATTTAAAAGTGATGATTATTTATGTCTCAGATTCGTTATAACTACCTCTTATTGAGTGTTTACAAATAGCTGCACGGAGTCTGTTTTCGGATTTATGAGCCTCTATTGGGAAAATGGCCCATCGAAACGCCTGTAAACCCTATATTATTGCTGCATTTTGATAGGCCTAAATATGCAAAAATGTACAGGGTGTTATATTTAAAAAAATGCAAGTTTGTATCAACACTGTATATAATAAGTGAATGAAAATAATTTTAAAATGTGCTCCCTGGACTAAATTTCATTTTAATATCTCTTCAAGTTAAATAATTAAACAATTAGTAAAGAAGTACGAACGAAATTAATTAACAAATACCTAGAGCAACAATTTCACGGTCAACTGAATCGGCGTTTGGCGCACATGTTGGTCTTTGAATTGACTGTCTTTTCGATAAATTTCATCAACATATAATAGCTTTTTGCAATAATAATGCCCAATTTTAGAACACTGTATTTCCGCGTTCGACCTTTATTTTACAGTTAACAAATTAGTGAAAAATGTCTATAAGTACCTTAAATTGTAGGTAATTTAATTGCCTACAACATAAAATGACTAATTTTCCATTAGGTCGTCTAGATGACGCCACATCATATGTGGTGGATAATAATTTACCTGACCATAGATCCGTATATATTGATCTGGGCTTAAGAAATAGGGTTAAGACTGAGAATGACTGTTGCACAAAAAGGTTTTTTAGTGAAAATGCGGTATATCAATTTAGAAATAGTTTAGGAAATGAAGAGTGACCTGCTCTATATTCCACGGGGAATGTGGATGAGGCTTTTCAAAATTTTATATCTGTCTTTTTATTTCATTTTAACTTATATTTCCCTAAAAGGAAATATTATGTCAATAATAGGACTGATAACAAGTGGGTTACTAATGAGGTTAGAGAAAACTGAAAGATCTATTTTTACTAAGCAACACTTATTCGCAGTTAAAGCGTGTGTATCAAAATGAGAAGATGAAGCATAATTATTTGGTTAATTTGTCTAGGAGACAACATTATCAGAATAAAATTAGTTCCTCTGAGAATCCTGTTAAATCCGCATGGAAGACTGTGGCACAACTTAATAGCAAAACAAAAACTAAAAAAGATATGTCGATAAAAATTAATGACAAAATAATTAATAATGAGAAAGAAATTGCTGATACCTTTAACAGTTATTTTAAAAATGTACCCATTAATATTGTAAATCAGATTCCTCAAATTAAATCAAATGATAGATATAGCAAGGAATCTATAAATAATACTATAAGCCTATTGCCTTACAATGACGTTGAACTTTATAATCTCCTCATAAAAAAACCTAAAAACAAATATTCTTAATTAATATATTCATAATTAGTAAACCGCTAGTTTATCTCATAAATTTATCTTTTTCAACTGGCAAATATCCAGAGTTATTAAAATTGGTTAAAATTATACAAA